ACGCTGGTGAAGAAGAAGAAGAGATGATGAACAAAACTCCCTATCATAGCCCCATACATCTATGATGCTAGGTACCATGTCAATCCCTATATACTAAGTACTACCGTACTTAGCGATACTGTGTAAATTTGTATAATCATAGCTACCCTTCATCACATGCATCTGTACCTAAGTTCAAGAGCAAACTTTCACTTCATAATAATGTACATATAATTATGATATAAAACAGACTATACAATGTCATGAGCCAAATAATTATTATGACAGCTATAGCGTTAAATGCGCCCAAATCCTGCAGTGTTGAGGATACCGAACGCCAGCTGATACATGTAACTGTCACTGTCAGGTATAGGACTAGTATATAACTGATAAAAAAGGGTATTAGCGGCACGGGGGAAAGGTCCTTCATTATGGAACTTAATCGTAGGTGGCTTCTGGAACCCAATAGGTGGAGGGTGAATTGCTCCAGTTACAAATGCCAGGATGTCCTGCAATTTCAGGTTGAATGACACTTGATATCCGCTGGAATTCAAAAGCTACAACATTCCATTTGTGGCTAAAAAAGGAGAAATGCACATCAAAACCTTCATTATGCTTACACTACATTATATCAACTTAGGGTGCATGACTGTGTAGCTGTAGTTGCTTTGTGTACATATTCTTTCTAGTGCCAAATGCCCAACAATAGAGGTGGAGTCTCATTAGGGGGGCAAATTGTCTTTCTCTAGCCGTGGCAATGTGTGTAGCTATATACACTCAATGAGTTGTATGAAGTTCACCCAATAAATGAGGGCTTGCTCTTCAGCCTCACGCTTGTTGGAACCTATTTCAGAGTAATCGGTACGAAATACATTGAGGATGTAATCTGCATTCAATTGAAAATCGGGTTCAGTCATAAGCTTGTGAGATTCAGTTTCATCAACTCATGTACACCGAGAACATTGAGACCCTCAATGCAATCTTCAAGACCTAGCTTAGCTGATGCATCAACTTCAAACCGAAACATGTATTCATTACTATCGAGCAATTCTCTCATCCTGACAACATTTGTTGTACACAGAAGCTGCAAAGTAGAACAAAAATGAAACATTAGGCTAAGCAATCAAGGATGTGGTGGAAAGGCTTGGTGGACATGTATCAATGTGCAGGCACAAACTATAATCCTTTTAACTCGTTGCGCGCGGAAGGCCAGTATAATGTCCGTTAATCTTCCTCCGCGGAGGGCCACTATAGTGGCCACTATAGTGGCCACGTAATTCACGTAAAAGGGGGTGTGCGCGCGCGCGAAAAATTACGCGCAAAACACTGCGCATGCGCCGAAATAAACGCGGCTGGATGATTATGGCTCATCTAAACAAAGATCAAGTCATTGGGATGCTTTTTGATCCTGCATTTGACTCAGATATTGGAGATGACTTAGCATTCCCATTGCCAATGCCTGAAGATGAAAATTGCAGCCCCAGTCCACAAGTCATGCCACAGGAGACGGAAGCAGAGGAAGAGACACAGGTGACTACAGAGAGTGAATCAGGAGAGGGAGAGGGAGAGAGAGAGGGAGAGGTAGACAGACTGCTCGGGAACGTTCACCTATATGCCAAGGTAAAATTAACCAGTTAGTAACAAAAAAATAACAAATAAAGCTAAATGTAGTATATGCTGATAGAAGGAACTGGAGAGAGATAGACCCCGCTGCTGATTCAGAGCCAGCTCCTCTTCCTTTCGCTGAGCCCACTGGACCACAACTTCCAGCAATGTCAAGTCAGACTCCAGCAGATTTCTTTCACCTGATGTTCACTGATGATCTATACTTGACATGATTATCGAAGAAACCAACAGGTTTGAAAATGAATTTCAACGTACATAACGTAAGTGATAAAATTCCCTGTACACTCACAGATATGCAAAGGCACGAATTGAGACCTTAGAAGAAGAAGGGCAGTTAGGTCCCCGCAGCAGGTTCAACAAATGGAGACCCCTGACAAGAAGCGAGCTGTGGGGCTTCCTAGCCATAATTCTCAATTTGGGGATCATCCACCTACCCGACATTGAGAGTTACTGGAAGACCTCATGGGTGTGTCAGGTCCCTTTCTTCCATGATGTCCTGCCACGAGACCGCTTTCAGGACATATTTTGAATGCTCCATGTCGGAAAAGCCGGAAATGTCCCCAGGAAGCTGGATAAAATAAAGCCACTCCTAGACATCCTCCTCCCCCGCTTTCGGGCTCTCTATTGTCCATCACCAAGTCTCGCAATAGACGAGACAATGTTAGGGTTTCGTGGGCGTTTTGGGTCAATCCAGTATGTGCCCCTGAAACCAACAAAGTGGGGGATCAAGCTGTTTACTCTAGCAGATGCTGCTAATTGGTACGTGCTAAACACCCTGGCCGGTCTACACTGGTGCGCAGACCCTAGAAAATGCAGACCCAGCCTACCAGTCTCTGCCACAACCAGGCAGGGTAGTGATGGACCTGATGAAACAGTACCTGCACAAAGGGTACCACATCTTCACAGATAGGTAAATACTGTTATGTTGCTCGTAAAAATTGGAAGCCTAAGCCAAAAATAGTGGGAAGTGTACACATCAATAAAAAAAATCAATGCTCCACTCTACTCTCTACCACCCTCTATTCTACCCCCTTACTCCATTCTCTACTTTACCCTCTATGCATACTCTATATACGTACTCTACCCCACCCTCTATTCTTCTACAATACCCCCTCTATCCTATACTCTACCCTACCTTATCCACCAAAAATAGTACATTATGCTCCATAAACGTTTCACCCATAGGTACTACACAAGTATTCCACTTACGGATACGTTGCTGTCACACGGCACGCTCTTCACTGGTACCGTCATGAAGAATCGGAAGGAGCTTCCAGCTACGATCCGTGACAAGAAGTTCACAGTCACAGCAGGTGAAACTGTCGCATTCCGTGATGGGAGATTGTTGGATTTTGCATGGAAAGCTGAGTCAAAAAATAAACCACTGATGATGGTGAGTAGTGGCTGTTCAGCAAAGCCAATTTCCCTCACAACACGGCGAGGAGCAGCTGTAAGCAAACCTGCAGCAGTGAACAAATACAACCATTGCATGAATGGGGTGGACGTAGCTGATCAGCTGACTGTATTATACTCGTTCGTGCGCAAGACAAAGAAATGGTGGAGGAAGCTCTTTTTCTACTTCTTGGAGGTCGCAGTAGTGAATAGTTACATCATCTACAAGAGCTCTGTCACTCACCCGTACAGTCATCTTCGAGCAATTGTAGAGCAGGCAGCAACACTCTCTCTGCTGCAAGCCCCTCCTAGAGCTGGCCCAGGTGCACCTCGCAGATTCAGGAGGGAAGATCTCCCACAACGGCTTGAAAAGAAGCAACACTTCCTAGGAAAGTTGCCCAAAAGCCGAGACTGCGTTGTTTGCAGCAAAAGGGAACCAGGGAAACGCCACAGGTCCATCTACTTCTGCTCAACCTGCAGAGACAATCCTTGCCTTTGCCCAGACACGTGCTTCAAGAAGTACCACACCCTCACTAAATACAAGCTATGATGTACTGAACAGAAACAGCTAGTCCTCACCTGTAACCAGTCAGAAAACATCTGCTTCTCCCTTTCTGCCCCACGCTGCGCACACGTGAATATCACGCGCCGCTCTAGCGTTTTTGTGACGCGTGCCACACGCGCGAGCGTATGTACGCGCGTATTTATTACGCGTTCGCGCATGCGCAAATTTAATTCCGCGTGGACCGTTGCGGGTGTACGAGTTATAGTGGGAGGACTCATCAGCCGGCCCCATGTTATTACCCATTAGCATGACTCAACAACTTGGTAACAAGGTAGAAAGGCAATTAAGGCAAGGCACACATGTCAACTACACCCAGGAGAGCTGTTTCTTTTCAAAGAAAAGAAGAAGAGTTGCCCTGGGTGGGATTCGAACCCACGACACTCTGCAGTCTAGGAGAGCGCTCTACACTGAGCTACCAGGGCAACTCAGCTGGTAGGGGTTCGAATCTACAACACAACACAACACAAAGGCACACCTCAAACCACTGTGCTATGGCACAGTACACTCTCACTCAGTATGTAGGATACACTAATTAGAGAGAGTGTGGGTGATTACTGTCTTATAGTATCTTCCAAACAGTGAAATCTCCATTCCAGATACAGATATTCTTTAGCCTCCAGCAGTATACATTAATTGTTACACATCTATGTATCTAATATTTCCAAACAGGGAAATCTCAATTACAGATACAGATATTCCTCAGCCTTTTTTATTGACTCTACAGCATAGCTATACCTGTTTGCTTTTGCTGACTTGCTTATACTGAAGTGAACTACCTATCTAGCTGATTATATACAGCTAGCTACCCTTGTTATGTCTCAATGAGAGTAGATTTACGTATACCAGGGGCGTAGGAAAGTGTTTTGCATTGGGGGGGCCACAAAATTTTAGTAAACCCTCGGCGAACTGCGCATGCGGAGCCACGCCTCCCGCCCGCGAGGCCACGTGTTCATACGTACGTACGTGTTTATACGTAGAACGTGCGCATAAAAGCGGTCGCTCTGGTGGCGCGGCAGCGTTCGCCCTCAGGCATGGACGATAAGGTACGAACGAACAACGGAAAAGGGGGGCCCTGGCCCCCGTAGCCCCCCCCCCCCCTGTTCCTACGCCCCTGTATACACTAGTGAAACTTGTTAGACCAACGTTTCGGAGCCCTTTCGGGTTCCTCCATCAGGGAAGACTACCACCTCCCACCGCCGATGCCAAACATATTGCTGTGTTCAATGTTATTAAGCAATTACCGCACTCCAACTTAAGCAAGGATGAAAGGAAAGCGCTGTCTTCCATTAAGAAAAAGAAAGATCTCCAGCAGACAAGGGTCGGTCTACTGTCATCCTGAACAAAGAAAAAGCTTATTGTTGAACGGAGTAATTTCGCAAGATCCTACACTACCCCTGGAAAGAAAAGTTACAGAACAACTATTGGATCTGAAACATCGCGATGTACTGCCGAAAAATTTGTATAACAAACTCAGCCCATCTGGCAGCCGAACCCTTCTGTTCTATGGTTTACCGAAAGTTCATAAAGATAACATCCCTCTTCGCCCTATTGTCTCGGCTAATGAGTCTGTGACATACCAACTAGCCAAACATCTGACACACATACTACAACAGATGTGTGGAAATAATGTACATCATGTCAAGGACTCAGCTGACTTTGCCAGTTCTATTTCTAACATCGACTTTCAGTAATGAGATAATGGCATCTTTTGATGTGGAATCCCTCTTTACCAGTGTCCCTGTAAATGAAGTCCTGAGAATTACTAATGACCGCCTATTATCTGATCCCACCCTACAAGGTCGGTCAACAATCCCTATAGTGGGCATTATGAGACTTTTGGATTTTCATCAGAAATACTTATTTCAGTTCAGAGAAACCATCTATGAACAGACTGAAGGACTTGCAATGGGGTCTCCAATATCACCTGTCCTCACAAATCTATATATGGAAGAATTCCAACAAATAGCATTGACAACCAGCAACAGACCACGGCTATGGAAAAGATATGTGGACACCACCTTTGTAATTATTCGCTCGCGCTCACTGTCCCTGTTTCTACAGCCCCTGAACTCTTTGCGTCCTGGAGTGATTCGTTTTACGCACGAACTGGAAGAAAACAATACCCTACCATTTTTTAGAAGTTTTGGTAACAAGAGAAGATGATGGATGGTTTGAACACTAGCATTTATCGCAAATCAACTCATACCGACCAGCTCCTTAACTTTGATAGCCACCACCCGCTATCTAACAAGAGGTCTGTTGTTTCTTCTTTTAGCAAAAGATGCAGCCTTATTCCTTCTACAACTGTTGCCAAGAAACCAGAGGAAAGCTACCTGAGGGGAGTCTTCACTGCCAACGGCTACACCAGGGATTTTGTTTCCCAAACCATCCTTAACTCATCTATGCAAATTAGATGTGAGACTCCAAAAACAACTGTGACAAGCATACGTCGGGGGAACCTCAGAGCATATTGGAAGAATTTTGGCTGAATGTGATATTAGGACAGTATTCAAGACAACAAATACTCTCTGGCAACTCCTATCCTAGCCGAAAGATCATGTTCATAAAGACAAACAGTCAGGTGTCGTGTATTCAATACCATGCAAGGATTGTTCTAGTTTTTACATCGGAGAGACCGGGTTACATCTGTCAACGAGCCTACAACAACACAAAGAAGCCACCAGAAAAGGAGATGCAGACAAGTCGACTGTAACGGAACATGTATAGGACAAGTCACACAATATAGATTGGACAAATGCTACTATTCTAGACCACGACCGACACTCCATCTCCAGAAAACTCAGGGAGTCCATCCATATAAGGAGATCCAGTGGAGCCTTTCTGATGAACAGAGACGACGGTCTTGTAACTTCACACATGTGGGATACACTGGTTCAGAAGTAATGGCTATTGTGCATCTGTCACACGATAGCAGATACACTGTAATGGCTATTGTGCATCTGTCACACTATATAAGAATAGCAGTTCTTTCAGTTGTGTATATTTAGTCTTCCCTGATGAAGGAACCCGAGAGGGCACCGAAACGTTGGTCTAACAAGTTTCAGTAACTCTGGCGCAAGCAATAATTCGCTAGTGTATTAGTTATGCCCAGAGAACAAAGAAGCCTCAAGCAATACATAACTGCATGGGCTAACAGCTTAGAAATGTTGATTGTGTGCAACCTGCTCTGGGTACAGGGTATGTATGTGAGACCCACAGTACCAAGTGTAGTATGGATGACCAACAATATGTGAGACCCACAGTACCAAGTGTAGTATGGATGACCAACAATATGTGAGCACATAGTACCAAGGGTATATGTACATTATGTGAGACGCACAATATGTGAGCCCACAGTACCATATGTACACTATGTGAGACCCACAGTATGTGAGCACAGTTACAAATACAGATGTGGCTGACAGTGTGTGTTTGTGTGGGTTGCGATGTGATACACACAAAAAGACACACTCACCAAACAACTCAGATCCCAAACGTAGACAATAGGTACATAGCCCTTCTTTG